AATATTTCCTAAAAGAGAGTAAATAGCCTGGCCCATATTATTTTCCCACAAAGATTTGAAGGGAAGGGGAGACTGGCTTCAAAGTCTATGTGATTCAGCACAGTGTGATATTGTTTCCTTAGGAGGGGAGAGGGCAGGCATTCGTTACCTCTCTACCACATGCTTGAGAATGATTAGTTCTGGGATGATCCTCTAGGGCCAGGGCCATGTGCAGGTCCTCATATTGCACACCACTCAAGGGTACCACTTCTAAGAGGATGCCTCTCACATTGCAGGTGCATTCTAACATATGTATCCAAGAGGTTATTGGTGGAGATGAGGACCAGGAGCTCTGGAATGGGAACCAAGTGGTAATCTATGATGGCCAAGTCCTGGCATAGCAGTAGACATGACTGTCACAGTCACCAGTACATGTCTATACACACACACACACACACACACACACACACACACACACGGACAGAAAGACAGAGAGTCCTAGCCATACGCCAAGAATCCCACTTCTACACATCAGTATCTTCAGCCTGGGCAAGCACTGGATAATATCCACAACTGCCCATGGTTGCTCATGTTATATAACAAAGCACCAACTGAATTCTAAGGAAGAAGGGCCTTTGGATTTGGCCCAAGAGGATTATTAACTATGAGGGTTCCTGGAAAAGGTCCTTAACCACAGACTGCAGTATCCTTCCTCTTTTGAGCACCTTTGTTTTGAGTGCTCAGCTTGTATCAGTTCAAGACCAGGAGATGTAGGAACATCACATCTTTCTCAAAGGAAAGAGCCTCTATAGACAATTTCCCAAGGGGAATTCCTGTGATGCTTTTCACATGCATCAGCTGCTTAGGCCACACTTGTCCATGTTCTCTTTCTATGAAGAGCTTCTCATTAATTTCATTGTTCTTTGTTCAGGACACAAGCTGGTAAGCACCAGGGTGTGAATCTAAACTAAAGTCACTGAACCAAACCTCTCAAATGCCTATTTCACAGGAGCTGAAGTGTCCAGGTCAGCAGTGGGCCAGTAGCTGATGGCCAGCTTTTGGGAAATTCCTCCCCTGAACCCTGAAATCCCCTTCTGTCCTGCTCAGGTCATTGCATCACTGGTTCTGGAGGTTCCTATGTAGGCCTCTGAGATGGGGCACCCTAAAAGTCTGGGCCTCCAACAGGGTATAAGAGAAGAGAAAGCAGGGACCAATGTGCTTCCCTGAAGCAACTGTCACCAACTCTGGAAAAGGTTCCAAAGAAACAAGTGACAGTGAGGGCAAGAGACTAGAGTTGACTTTCCTCTCATCAGTAAAACTGAAGAGAAGGAACCCTGATGCAACTGGCACCAAGTGAGTACCAGGGCTTCCCCTTTTGTCCCCATCTTCCAGATCTGCCTCCCACTATCAACTCATCCTCTTGCCTTCTCAGGCTCCAGATCTAGAGAAATCAACTGGCAGACACTGAAACACTAGCATCTCCCTGGATAAAAGAAAAAATCAAAACTTGATTTTGCTCTGGACTAAGATGGACCAAGACTCCCCAACTAAGCCCAAAGAACAAAAGGTAACATGGCTTTCTCTTGGAAGTCTGGGTCTTACTCTAAGATGGGTAGTATTTGCAGCAGCAGCTGTGACTTGTGCTCTAAGAGTCCGTAGGCTCTTTTCAGAGGCCAGAGAAGACTTGGCGGGGGAGGGGAGGTGTCAGGCCCCAGCCTTTATTTTCTGCATCCTCTTCTCAGAAAAGTATACTCAGTTTGAACCTCTGGAAAGGACAGAACCAGCACATATTAGATACAGAACGCATAGCTGTCCGGGCAAGGCTCCTCTTTTCTAGTGGAGGAGAATAAGCATTGGAGCCAACTTAGCAGCCTCCAGCAAAGCCAAGCCTGGTGTTGCTGTGCTCTTCCTTCTGCACATGCCAGACCATACCACAGAATGGGGAAGGAGGCAGAAGAGAAGTGGGATGGTTTCAGAGGGCCTAAGGGTGGGCAGGGAAGTCACACTCCACCATGTAATGAAAATGAGGTGGCTGTGTTTCCCGGCAGGACTCAGGAGGCACAAGACCCTAAACTCTAAATGTGGCTCAGGGTAACAAAGGCCTGGGACTCCAGGTCTCCTGCAGAAAGGATTCCTGAAGGTCATTGGCAGGGAGAGTGACTGGAGACATTCCATTGGTGATATTCTTCCAGTCCTCAATTAAGACTGATAAGTAGTTAGAAACATTTTATTATATCACACACTTGTCACACCATCAGGCTTCAAAAGAACTGGGCGGCATGGTGATGTTGGCCTTTATGTGGACTGTATTAGGACTTGGCACTTTGGAAACAGTAGCCTGGGGAAATCTGAGTACCAAGCATGCAGGGAACCTGGATTTGGTGAATATTAATCAAACTAAGGACTATGTGCAACCACACCCTGCGGGGGGGGGGGGCAAGGAAGGGGGGAG